TTCTTTCATAGTCAGTAAAATTCCACACTTCTCTTCCTAAATGTTTTGTTGTTCATGACAATGACCCTTAAATCAATCACTTCTCAAAAATCAATCTTAAAAAATGGGATGGGAAAATCTGAGAACAGATAAGGGTGATGACTAAACAACATGATACCCACAATTAATGTCACTAAACTGTACGTGTAAAAATTACTGAAATGGCAAATGCTTTCTTACATATATATTTACCACAGCAAAAAAATGATGAGACTTAAACTCACAGATGGACAATCCAGAATTAATTCTTCCACAGTTACTATGTCCAGGTTGAGACATTCTGCTAGGATTTCAAACATATATTTATATGAAGATTCAATTTTCAATTTTCGGCCTTCCCTTGCCTCTCTAAATCTTGCCTAAGGAATGAAAACCATGTGTACAAATTGTAATTATAGAGAAAAACCACCAAAATATTTCATTTAAAATAAAAGTGATAACATGAAAAATCTTATGGGCAAAACCTGTTTCTCTTTTAATGTTTCCTGCAGATTTGGAATGCCACTCATACTCCGGCGATATTTGGAGGACCTACGGGAAGAAGACTGAGAAAGCACATCAGAAAGCACCAACGGAACCGGTCCGGATCGGGGTGCAGCCCTGGGACGAAGTCTAGTCGGATCCCTCTCATCATCATCTGGAAGAACTATCCTTTCTTCAGAAGGAATGAAGTTCTGGCCTTCACCTGCAGGGGGAGCAACATCTTCCGCGGAAGAAGAGGCAGCCCCTTCTGCATCGGCCGCCTCTCTCGAAAGGGGAGGAGCTGCCTCTTCCGTAGGGGGCCGGGCTTCTCCTTGGGGAGGGGGTGGTCCACCATCTTCAGTGCTCATGTTTTCTGCCCTTTCTTCTTCCAGAACACCTTAAACTTCAAAACCTAGAATTACAAAATAATATTTTAAAACTTTAAAATAAATTGTGTGTTGTGTATATGATTTATTTTTCCCCTTGAAGCTAGACTGCAAAATCATCTATTTCTTCCTCAGTATATTAGCTGACCACTTGCTGTGGAGTCTATTCCAACTCATGGTGACCCCTGAGCAGGGGCGGATTAACAGGTAAACACAGTAGGCACTGGTTTACAGCAAGGAAGGTACGCAAGGGCTTAATTGTGCTCACTTATTAATCTGTAGTGCACAATTTCATCTGGTTTTCACCATGTCACGGTATACACAGGCTTAATTATGCTTACTTGGCTAATCTGTAGTGCACCTGGATGAAATTGTGCACTACAGATTAGTAAATAAGCACATTTAAGCCTGTGAATACCTTGCTTGTTGGGAAATCCGTCCCTGCCCGGAGAAGTCCCTGGGTAGTGCAAATGCTTAACGGTCAGCTACAACCTAAAGGTTAGTGCTTGGAGTCCACCCAGAGGCACCTCGAAAGAAAGGCCAGGTGATCTAGTTCTGAAAGATCCACCATTGAAAACCCGACGGAGCACAGTTCTACCCTGACACCCATGAGTTGCAATCAACAGCAACTGGTTTGTTTTTTGTTTTGTTTTGCTTTGTTTTTGTGGGTGTCAGAGTAGAATTGTGCTCCATAGGATTTTCAGTGGCCGATTTTTCAGAAGTAGATCACCAGGCCTTTCTTCTGAGGCACCTCTGGGTGGACTCACACTTCCAACCTTTTGGTTAGCAGTCAAACGGTTAAGTGCTTGCACCATCCAGGCACTCCACATCCAAACTACCTAATCAGAAAAGTTCTAATTATAAAGGAGAGTGGATGTTATCATGAGCACATAACCACTCATCCACTAGAAGACACTAGCAGAGCTGGAAAAAATGTCAGGTACAGAAAAACCATGTGGAGGACAATAATGAAGCCTCCATCAAAATAAGTTTTCAGGATATGGTTAAAAGCCAGAAACCAGAGTAATAGTAAATACTTATAGAACAAAAGAATAAATTCCAAAGTAGATAGCTTAAAAGAAAAAAGAAAGAGGATTTCTAGTGAGAATTTCTGAGGCTGGCACTGTTGCAGGCCAGCCTAAGTAAGATGGAGGTTCCTATAGGAGGGCACTAGCAGACATGA